AACCGTGGGGCTTTTTTTAGGGCCGAACTGGTACTACCGATTTTTGGAAAACCGGCAACAAAACCAATTGGTTAACCAATTGACTGGTTCGGTTAAACATCGGTTTTTCAAAATTTTTAATATATATTATAAATATATTTGAATTAATAAATAATATATCATATATTATAAATATATATAATGCATATTTATAATATATAATATATATAATATAATATATGTATACCGGTGGGTTCGGTTAACTAGTGGTTTTTTATATTGGTTAACCGAAACCAAACCGATTGGTTTGGTTAACCGATTTTTCGGTTCTTTTTGCTCACCCCTAGTTGCAATGCAAATAAATTTGCACCAATGCAAAATAATAGAAGTGTAAATGATTTCAGTGTAAATTCTGACCCATTTCAATTTTAAATTTTAACTTATTTTGTTTGATTGCAACACAAATAAAGTAAATTAAGACATAAAGCAAAATAAAGTAAAACCCAAAACAGAATTAAACAAGAATTTGCATTTTTTCATTTGCTATCCTATTCATTTGTATGGAAGATTGATTAAATCCATTGCAAATTATAAAGTGGTGTTTTAGTAAAATGCTAACTATAGGTTAGATTTTAATAAATCCATGAAACTATAAGGGGTATTTTATTATATGACCCTTTCTATTGTTTAGATTTCTCTTAATTAGGGTTGTTCACAGATTGGGTTGGGTTGGTTTATTGGCGTTTTTCCAACTGACCCGACCTGGTCGGTTTACCTAGAAATGAAACTAAAACCGACCTAGTACTAAGTAAAACCGACCTAGTCGGTTTGGATCTGTTTGGGTCAGTTTTGTGAATGATTCTCTCGGTGTGAACGGTAAAGGATTCAAGTCTAAGAAAGAAAAGGCGGGATGCCTGGAAATTAAAAATGATTTGATGGATTAAAACTGATGTTTTATATATCAGAAATTTTATATATAATATGCATATTTCTGAAATAAAGCTGAATATATATTTCCACAAATATATATCTGAAATATATATATAGTAAAACTGAAACTGAACCATCAGTTTATGTTTTTTTGTGACCCGAAACCGACCGGTGATGAAGAAAAACCGACCAACTCGGGTTGAATTGGATTGGGTTGGTCGGTTTGGTCGGTTTGGGTCTTGTTATGAACAGCCTACTCTTAATAAATCCCGTGCATCGCACGAGCTGCCGCTAGTATATATTAAAACAAAGCGGTCAAGAAATTTTCTCCTTTTTTAGATTTTTTTATTTTTTTATTCCATGTCATTTTTGAAACAACCAATAAAATGCACTTTCCCAATAACCTAAATAATCTCTTCTAAAATTTCTCCTAAACCATCTCCCCCACTATCCCTCACTTTCTCCAAAATTATCTCTAACTCCTATTTATCTTCTAAATTATCTCTTATTCCTATTTATCTTCAAAATTATCTCTAATTTAGTATAGAGTTTCTCTCCTAAATTATCTCTAATTTAGTAGATAGTTTCTCTCCTAAATTGTCTCTAATTCCTATTTATCCTCTCCCCTACTTTTTATCTATATCTATCTAAAAAAGTTTGGATTAAAAAATTTAAGAATTATTTAAATATTCTAACAAAATTAAATAATAACTTTAAAATACTTATTAAAAACAAAAAATAATTTTATAAATTTACAAAATATATCACGAAATTATGTACTAACAATTTAAATTATATTTTTCGAGATTATCAATTTAAATAACTAAATATTTATCATAACTAGATTTTAAATAGTTAAAATAACGAAATTGTGTAATAAATTTTAAAAATTTCTTCGAAGTAGAAAAATAATTATAAAATAATATTGAAATTAATAATAATTTAATATATTACAAAATTAGTAATGAAATTATGTAATAATAGTATAAATTATGATTTTGTGGATAATTAAATTCAATAAATAATTAATATTTTACATATTATTTAAGTATTTAAATAACTAAATATTTTGAATAATAAAATATTTATAATAACTAGATTTTAAATAGTTAAAATAAAGAAATTATGTAATAAATTTAAAAATAATTCTAAAAATAGAAAAATAATTATAACATAATATTGAAATTAATAATAATTTAATATTTTTACATAATATTGTAAATATTGAATTTCACTTATATCAAGTAATAATTCGAGAAAATAACTTTCAAAAAAAATAATATTTGTTAATAATAATTTTAAACTCTTAATCTATATTTATTATATAATTGTATATACTAAAATTAATATTTATTGTCTTTTGTGATTAATGTATTTTCAACGATTATGTATAAATCTATTTTGTTTTGTTATTTAATTTATTGTACTTATTTTATTTTTGTTATAAGTTATTGATTAATATTTATTAGAGATTAAATTATTCTTTGAGATTATACTATTTATTGACTATGCTAATATATTTTAGTACTTATTGTATTTTTTAATTTCTCTAATTATCGTATCTTTCTTTATCATTATATTTTCAATAATTGTGAATTTTTGCTATAAATTTTTAATAATTATTGGAGATTAAACTATTGTTATTTATGAGAAATAAGACTGTTAATTTAGTTGAAATTACGAGTGTTCATGAGTTGGTTTGGTTCGGTTGTATGCTATTTGGCCAACCAAATTGACCTGGTCAAGTTAGGGAGTTGGTCAGCTAAAACCAACTAACATTTTGTGAGAACCGATCCACTCAATTTGTATTGGTTTGGTCATTCTATTCAAAAGATTTAAACTTAAAATTTTAATTTAATTTTAAAAATTACAGTGTAATTATTAAAAAATAAATTAAAAAATTAGATTTATGATATAAAACATTTTAGACTAAGAAATATGGGAAAATTTCCACTTTTCCATATTAAAAATTATATTTAAAATATAAAATATTAATACATATCCATGGTTAGGTCGTTCAATTTTTGTCGGTTTACAAATGGCCAAAGTGAAACTGATCCAACTTGGTCGAATTGGGAAATTTTTGAACCAAATCCAACCTAAAATACTAGAAAACCAACTAACTCAGGTCGAGTTAATCAAGTTAGTTGGTTTCATTAGTTCGATAAATAAACCTAACTGAAATTAATTATTGTTATTTTTGTATTATAATAATTTTATTAAAATTAGTATATAAAATATGAATAATTAAAAAGTTAAAAATATAAAACAATTGTATAATCCTATGTGTTTCTATTAGGGTCATTTATTAGAACACACTTTTAGGGATGGAAATTTTTCCCATCTTCGACGGGGACCCGACTTCCTTGACCCAATGGGGTTAGGGATGGGGATTGTTTTGGCGAGGCGAGGACGAGGACGAGGATTAATAGGAATCCCCGGTCGAGGTTGGGGTCGGGGTTAGGGATGGGGATTGAGGTCCTCGCCCCGCCCCGACCACAATTATATATATATTAAATATACTATTATATTATTTATATTATATATATCAAAACATATTTAAAACATTATTTATGATTTAAAATTTTTATTTATTTTAAATAAGTTTATTTAAAAAAATACTATTATCTGAAAACATTTTGGGGATTCGGGTCCCCACGGGGAACCCATCTCTATCGGGGATTGGGGATGGAGTTAACTTCAAAATCATGGTCGGGGACAGGGAATATGATCCCCGCCCCATTGCCATTCCTACACACCTTATAGTTTTATATATTTACTTAAATCTACCTTATAGTTTTCATTTTACTAAAAATCCCATATATTTTACAACTTATTTACTTAATCGACATTTCATTAAGAAGTGTTTGTTTTGCCATTAGGCACATGATTTTTTATTCAAAAAATACCTTTAATACTTTTTTTTGTATAAAAAACAAAATTGACCAAATATAGCCAATAGAGTGGTTACCCGTGTCTTATTAAGGGAAAAAATGGTATTTTTATTTTTATTTTCTTTTGATTAAATTTATTTAAATGAACATTAGGGTCAACACTGTCATTTTCCACTGTCATCTAATGGAAGATTAATTAAATCCATTGCAAATTATAAGTGGTGTTTTAGTAGAATGCTAACTATAGGGTAGATTTTAATAAATCCATGAAACTATAAAGGGTATTTTATTATATGACCCTTTCTATTATTTAGCTTTCGCTTAATAAATCCTGTGCATCGCATGGGTTCCCGCTAGTATATATATAATAAGAAAAGGCAAAGATTACGAAAAAACAAAGAAAATGATAATATATATATAATTCGATAAACTATATAGAAATTGTAGAAAAAATGTAATAGGAAAGAAAAAATTTAAAAGCCAATTTACCATTCAAACAGTCAAAATTGGATATTTTGATAATTTTGCATGCTTTTATCGCCTCAAAATAATGAAAGGAAAAAATAAAGAAAGGGGTGTAAATGCAAGAATGCCATAAAGTTCAGGAGAGGACAGCAATATTAACATAGAACCAGATACTGACCCGCAACCAGCTATCAGAAAGTGTACAAAGGAGGCTTCAGCAAATTTACCATTCTTTTAAACCTGAACAGCCCACCCGAGCTTCACCAAACCAAAACACCCAAACCCATCTCAAGTTGTGTTGAGTCTTTTGACTGTTTGAGTTGAGCTTAGGCGGGGCTATCAGTTGAATGTCATTACCTCGTACCATTAATCTATTTTGCCACGTGGATAATCTCAATTCAATTAAAACTTACACTTTAAGGATGACACGTGGTACCTGCAATGTCGGCATTTAGTATGTGACATCTCATTGTGTTCTTTGTCTAAGTAGATAAAATGATGACGATGAAGAACAAAGAAGATCGATCTGGTCTGGTGTTTTCTACACGTGGGTCCCTCTCCAAACGAAACAACTATGTTTCGAGTCCTTCGACTTCTCGTTTTCCGTTTGACGGAATAGAGATCGTGATCGGACGGTTGACATTCCCGTCGATAGACCAGGTAGATCTGGCTATTTTAATTAATTAATTAACATTTTGCATCTTAGAAGAAGTGTGTAATGCATATAGTATATACTGTTTTCCCGGTTGGTTTTTTCTTTGGTGCTAAGTCCAAGTCTGTAGTCTTCCTTCTCCCTTCGCTCCCGTCCACATCCTTTCTCTCTCCTTCTGACTTTCTCTCTCTCTCTGTTCAAAGCAAATCTCATTGACGAAGCCCTAGAACCCATTTGATATCTGAGGTGTATTCTCTGATCTTCTGCGTTGACATGTTTCTCTCCTGCAAATTCAGTGTTGATGTTAAAATCTTGCTGGAAACCAGGTACCTTGTCGGTGAATCTCACCAAAATTGCACCCTTTTCCTCTTAATTTCATATATGGATTTGTTTTTTTCGTGCTTTTATTACCGTTCTTCGATTCTTAATGCAGTTTTCTTCGCATTCTTTCTTTCTTATTTTGATGTATTAGATGTGTTTTGGTCTGATTCATTTGATCTCTCTCTCTCTCTCTCTCTCTCTCTGTATCTCTCTCTCTCTCTCTCTCTATATATATATTTTAAATTCTTTTGGGAATGGTTAAAATGTAAAAGATTGAATGTTTTCTTTGATATTTGATCTCTTGTCATACCAAAAGAATTGCATTCTAGACATTTCTTACTGTTCTGTTGTACATTTGTGACAGAGCCATATCGTCTTAAATGTATTATATAATTACATACGTGTGGCATTGGTTTGAACACTAGTTCCTTATTGGTTGTAGTTCAAATAGTGTAGGAGTTATCTAGCTTGTTACAAATGCACCTCGGAGCAGAGAAATAATGCACCATGAACTTCTTTCTCTTGTCAAACTCGGATGATTTTTCCAATTGAAAGGTGTTAGTTACATTCTAACGTTCTTAAATTAATCCATTAATCATTAGAAACCCGTTTAGAAATAGACTTATGTGGAACCCTGAGAATCTAAATCGGCTAGTACCGAAGAAATTACCTGTTCGTGCTAATCCCTTTTCTGGAATGCTGTCAAAAGATAATCCATATGATTTTGGTTTTTTATTTTTTGGTCCTTCTCAACTTTTCCTTCAGGACTAGGCGATAGAATGCTTTTCTTTTCTTTTTGTTTTATTTTGACAGGATCGTTTGTGAAGTTGGTTGTGATATTATTTTATGACCATTGTTACGCTTTGTTGCCTTTCACTGACCTTGATGACCAAGCCCTTATCCTGGTTATTTTCGGGTCTTCCAGTTCAAGCAGTGTTCAAAATAGTAATATTTTGCCCTTTTTGTTTCCTCACAGGTCCACAAGCTGCATTCGACTCCTTCCACTATAATTTCTCCATGATTTCTGTTGAGAATTCATGCCCACAACATCCCTTAACATTTAGCAAGCCAAGTGATTATTTTCAGCTTCCACAATGTGCAATGAAAAAAAAAAACTCTACTGTAGACACATTTAGAAAAAAAGTATATACCAATAAAATAGTTCATATTTTTTGAATTTTAACACTAAATATCTATAGGAAAACATCTAACAATAGTCTTGTTATTAACTTATTATTAATAACATTTCATAGGAAAAGTGACATTCATCTTGTACATTAACTGTTCATTAATGTCTAACAACTCGGAGGAAAAAAAAGAAAATGTGTTACAAAGAAGTGTCCTTCAAAATTCTGTCGTGTGTCAAAATCTGATGCATGTCCAACATGGACACTGTGTCCATTTAAGAGAGTCCATGCAAAACTTTTTTCAGCACATTCCATTTATTGAGCCCCCTCCCCCTCAATTTGAATAATCCTCTGCTGCTTTCCACAATCTCTAATTGCTTCCTAGCCTTTTCAGTGATGGTACTTGTATCTGATCAAAAGAATGAGCTAGCTGAAGTGAATGTTCTAGTGAAATGTATGGGAGTGAACTGGAAGAAAGGAAAGGGGGAGGGGGAAGAAAACATTCAATAAGGTCTGACTTCTGAGGAAAAATATGTGGATGGAAATGGTGATTGAGAAACAATGAATAGCAGGAAATGGCTACTTGTGGTGGAATTTGAGTGCACGTTGCAGGGATGTGGTTCTGTTTGTTGGGTAAACATTTTCATGGAGCCACTCTGTCATTAGGTTTGTGCATTTTGGAGGTAGACCAACCATTCTAGGAGAATTATGAGCTAGAGTAAACTCATTCTTTACATGAAGCTGCTGTTTATGGCACATTATCACAGTCATCCATGGGCACGATCTTCCATTTTGTGATCTTTATGCCACTATTACTATCAATTTCTTGAGTTGATTTAATTCTAAAATATATTTCATATAGGGGAGATCAGCAACTGCAATGACTGACTGTTTAGCCAAGCAAGGGGAAAATAAGGAACAATTTTATTGGGCTTAGTTGTAATTTGATATTTGTTTTCCTTAGTACTCTGTTGCGAGATGTTGCAGCTCGCGCCTCTCCAAGTCCAAGGGATGTTTGAATCAGCTTGAATATTTGATTTAATAAAAGTTTTTACTCATCAATATATTAGCCTACACTGGGTGGGAAAGTCAGCGAATGCACTGGCTGATTGCTTGCCAAACAAGGGGCCAATAGGGAAAGCTTATACTGGGCTGCTTACAATCTTTTCACTATTATTTTTTTTTTCTGTAATTTTCTTTTAAGGAGAGGTTACACCTCATGTCTCTCCTTTGGGATGCCTGTAATAGCTCTCATTGCTTGAATAATACAATTACCACTCAATTATCATATATATATATATATGCCCTAGGAAGAATACATTCCTTAGTTGCTCTTGTGTATTTGATTGGATAAATTTTTCAAGTTCTTTCTTAGTTATCATTCCAGGTTTTGGAGTCTTAAAAGGTTCAAGAGTATGACACCGACATACGTCCAACTCAAACAAATAAAAAAATAATAGAAAGAGAGTAGTATGCTTAGGGTTCAGCTTTTCTATTTCATTGGGTCAGTTTTGGAATGGTTATTGGTTTGTTTAGTTTTAGTATGATTGGTAATGGGTTGGTAGAGTTCTTTTAGTTGTTAAAGTCTATATTTGAGTCTCTCTAGCCTGATCTACTAAAGGGTTCTTGATGCAGTATGGGATTTGGATCAACTGAGTAAACATTTACAAAGTTGGTTTTCGGAAACCCCTCTTAGTACATTTAGGGAGAGGATGACGCAGCACAGAATGAAGCTAATAAGTTCTATGCAAGTTGGGACCATTCCAAGACACATAAGAAGCAGAGATGACACCACCGACCCAACTTAGTAAATATTAACCGATATAGCATCATCACAGAATTTCTATCTTAGTTCATTTTTACCAAGTTGGCACCATCGCAAAGTTTCTATCTTAGTTCATAATTACCAAGTTAGCGTTATAGCGAGATTTCAAATTTGTATTCAATGAGGGCTTTCTTTTTGAAGAGTTTTATTAGGATTCTATTATGGAGTGTTTTCTTAGATTATGATTGCTCAATTAAGACTTTCTTTTTGAGGAGTTTTAGTATGATTCTATTATGGAGTGTTTTCATAGATTAGGAAACTTTCTTGTAGGAGCCATAAGGGTGTATGCCTATATAAAGAGTAGTTAGGGGACGGATAAGACAGTTTTTGATATTGAATTTTCTCTTAATTATTCAGTGAAGAATTCTTCTTCCTGGTAGTTCTACTTATGCTCTTTTCTTTGAAGCTTTTTCAACGTGTTTTGTTTCCATACTGCGCTAGTTCTTCATTATTTCCCATCACAAAACTCAAGCATAGGTTTTCGAAACTGGGGGAATGATGCAAATATGGAAAAAAGGGAAAGAAGCCATAGAAGGAGAAATCAAATTTGTACAGATTTTTGCACCAATGGTAATTTTGTCCATATTAGTTAGCTAAGTGCAATGAACAAAACAATAGCCCTTCATTGGGTAAATGTGCTATGGAGGGGCTCTGATTTCAGGTCTGTCCTCGGCAATTGCATACTTTACCAAGTTGGTGAACAAGCATTAACAAAACTATTTGTTATTTTCACTGGTGATTCCACAATCTTCATTTTCTTTATCTGGAAGATTCTTACCTGTATCCAACTAACATGCTGCAAGAATCTCCTTTAGCATATGGGTAGGGTACCCACAAAAATTGCCCTTCCCATCCCAAACCTGCCTAGGTACCCTAGAACCATCCTGTCCTAAACTCGTTTAACTTTTCCTCCCAATTTCCCAAACCGGTTATGACCCGTTTCACCCATTTAACTTTTCCTATTATTGGTATCATGTTTCAAATTTGAAATTCAAATTCAATTACCAATAACAGGTTTGGGAGATGGGTCTAGGAAAAGTTTGAAGTTGTAAACAGTAGAAATCACTATTTGCTGATTCAGTCAAGCTTCTTGTGAGAGAAAGAGGGGGAAGGTGAAGATTTCAGCAGTAGAGAAGGAAGGAGAAGAAGAAAAGAGTAGGAGGTCAACTAGAGTTATGAGAAAGTTAACCCTAGCCGCCAGCCCCTCATTATATTTATATTTAACTTAAAGATGAGATATTACAAGGATGCCCTTAGTAGGGCGGCTACTAAAACTGAATAGTCACAACTTTAAAAAATAAAAAACTAATGGGCCGAAGGCCCAACAACTTCCTAATTAAATAAAAACAAACTAAAGACAAACCGGGCCACTCAACATAAACTATTAAAATATATTTTCTTATGTATAGAGTTGTTACAGCTGTAGATTATATATAATTCATATATTTTTAATATATATTTGAATTTCCATGGCATATCCATGTGTATCTTAACTTTTTCACCGTATCCATGCGTATCCAAAATCCAGATATATTTCTTTAAATTGTCTCTTCAATATTTTTTTTGAAAAAGGCAAAGTATAGTATACTGAACCTTGCACCTGATTTTACATCACATAAGTAAAATGTCACACCCCTCCTAAGTAGAAATGGTGTGGTAGGCTAGTGCTAAACATGCCTATAATGGGAGATGCAAGGGCAAGGGGTTGAATCCTCTCTCAATCCTTTTTACTATGTATAGTAGTTCTTATAAAATACATAAGATATATTTGATAATATATACACGGATTTATAATTGGGTTTGGGTATTGGTACCCTAAGGTCAAAACCCAAACCCTATAGGGTTTTGATAAACAGGTCCTATTAGAGTCGGGTACCTGAAAATTCCCATAAAATTGTCATTTCTAATCTCCTTTGGAGCAATGTGGTATAAGCAGGTTCAATGCGACCTGTGCCCTCAACATGAACTGACATCTACTGCAAGTTTTAGGTGTTTCCAGAAGGAGGGTTTCCTTCCCCAAGATTGGTAACCTCTTTCTAAGTGGATCATTGGATGCACTATTTGGCAATGTGGTATGATGGTTTTAAATCTCAAAAGACTTTTTTTTTGTTTTTTCAAAATAAAGTGTACTTAATGAAGGGATAATTCTAATTTATAATATAGTTTTCAGGTTATTAATTTAGAGATGCAAAATCAAGGGGTAACTTGATGTGTTCTTTTACCTGATTTTTATTTAATATTATTCTACAAATTGCTTCACCTCATATCTCATGGGTTGCATAGTTATAAACTTTTCTTCTTTACATCTTTCTGTATAACATTTTATCTGATGATGTTGTTTCTTTTCTCCTTTGTAGGATCTGTAATTTCTCTAGAAATGGTCAGAATTCATGCCTATGGTGACATCTGGCATATTCTTATCTTGATTAGAAATTCTTCGCAATGCAGTTGGTCTCAAATGATGGTCAAACTGAAGATGTTTCAGAAAAAGAGCCTATTTTAAGTCAAACCACCATTACACGCAGATCTGAGGAACCCTCTTCTTCATGTGAAATTAGACTTGTGGGTGGTGACTGCTGTGAAGCTGATGATGATCGTCAAAGTTTTGATGCTGATGAAAGTTGCAGTCTGGTGAATGGAGACCAGCCACAATGTCGGATTTGTCTTGATACTGAAGGTTGAATCTACCCACTGTTACTGGTGTTTTTTTTTTCACAGGAATCTAATCTGCAGCCTGAATACTGCATCTTGTCTTTCTTTCAAGAAAAGTTCCTTTACTTTTTTTTCTGTTTCGGCATAGCTGGTGGTAACTGTTAGTGGTATCTTTTATATGAGTTTCTTTCCAGTCTGGTTCCATTGAGGAAGTGACTTTTTCAATGTATAGGTGAAGATCTGATAGCACCTTGCCATTGCAAAGGCACACAGAAGTATGTACATCGATCATGTCTTGATCACTGGAGATCAACTAAGGTATATAACAGAAACAAAAGAAGAGGGGATTGTTAGATGTTGCTGAACTGCTAAATGCTTAACTATATTAGAAATTTGAGCTGTTTCTGTATTTATTGGTATTTTTATTTGCTACTCCTACTTTTTTTTCTTTTTGGAGGCACCTGGCCTGCATACTTTATTTTTTTGATCTATTATAAATTTGGATATTAGTAGGAGACTACATTTCCCAATATTTTCAACAAATAAATTCACTTGTCAAGAAAATTAAGGAGTTATCTAGATTTTGGGTTTCTTAGGTCAGTCCATCTGAGACTTCACATTTATATTGAACAACAGAAGTGTCCTTGTCTTAGCTGGATGCTTGGATATTGCTACTGTTCTGCATGTTTGACTAGCAGGTTAAACATTTTGTAATTAGATAATAGCCTGCAGAAGAGGAGGTTGATCTTTTGTTCACATTGACCTCATTTGTAGCTATGAATTGGCACTAACATTATTATAAGTACTATGACTTTTATTTTCCTAATGTGGAGAGGGTTAGCTATTATTTATTTGCTCTTTTGTGCAGGAGGGCTTTGCTTTTGCCCACTGTACAGAGTGCAGGGCAGTGTTCATACTACGAGCAAATGTCCCACCAGATCGATGGTGGTTGAGATTGAAATTTCAACTCCTGGTTGTTAGGGATCATGCATTTATTTTTGTCATTGTCCAGTTGGTAAGATGATTACTTTTCTTCTCATTATTATCTGTGCCAGTGTTGCATGGACTCTCCTTAAATGAACTATCTGTGTCAGGCATGTGTCTGATTCTGACAGTCCATGGATTGTCAAGGGATACTAAACATAATATTTTCTTTTTCACCTAGCTATTTGACATAAATGAATGTCTAATATACTTCTTTTCCTATAAAACATTACTCGGTAACAAAGACAAAATTTTAGATCTTTTTCAATACGTATATAATATTAGATTTCTTTTTGTTTAACATTTCTCTATGCTTTTCTTGAATTGTATGTTTGAAATTTTTAGTGCGCTTTTTATTGAAGGGTTATTGGTGTACAGAATAGTTATTGAAAAAAACAAACATATGACAAGTTAGCAAAGTTATTTTAATCAAAATTTCAACCATTTCACAACTTGCAATCCAAAGTATTTTCCAAGGATTAAAATGTAGTGTTGGTGGAAATATCAGTCATCCAAATAATAGGAAACATGTCAGAAATGCTAGAAACATTGTACGGAAATATTGTTAAAAGAACAGCCATGGTAGAAACATTGTGAATTTTGCAAAAATATAGAATGCTATTATGTAATGATAAAAATGCGTAGGTAGACCCTTTTTAAATTGTTGTCTTGTTTAAGATCATCAAACAATGCTAAGAAACTATGGTTAATAGCTAAAATAATATACTATGATGTTGTCCTGTAAACTTTAAGAGCTAAAACTACATAATAGATTGAGTTCAAACAAAATTAAAACCCATAGAAAGTGCAAATGATTCTAATAGATCAGCGAAGTAATTTATTATACAATAAAACTAAGCTTTAACTTTATGTTTTCAAAGAAGTTCAAGCTGGCTAAAAGAAGCAACCGTGTCCATTAGGAGGGCAATAATACTGCTACTCATTATCTAAAATATTGTTGCCAACTTATGTCATAATACTATCTTTTGTACTCCACATAACACTGGTAATTTTCATTAGGGAATATATTGGTTCCAGTAATATTTCATTTTAGTACCCATGGAAATGAAAATATGTCATGGAAATATTAGGAAATATATGTACACTTTAAACCTATTTTCATGTGATTTAGGTAACTATGAATTTCCAAGGTGCTCGCAAGTTTTAGTTTGTTGCAATAGTTGTCACTGAAGTTGGAGCCTTGGAGGCTATTTGCATAAAATAATAAAAAATAAAATAAAATAAAATAAGAAAGAAGGAAAAACCCTCAAATGATGGTGTGAAGTTGTATTTCTTTACATGTAAATTATCTATTGTAAAACTTTTACTGTGTTATCTTAATTGGAGGTACACCAATTATTGTGTTTAGGGATGGCAATGGGTAGAGGTACCCATGAAAATTGCCCTTCTCATTTCTGAACCTGTTTAGGTACTCTTTGATCCCAAACCTGTCCCAAGGGGCTAGAAAGATTTCCCCTTTGGTGGATTCTCAAAGTATGGACTCGAAAGAGTATGATTGTTCAGAAAAAAACAACTCGGACTGAATTTAATTTAAAAGAGGCTCCTGTTGAAGTGTCGGCGGGGGATAAGGCAATAGAGAAAAGAGGAGTGGACTTGAAGACTCTAGTTGACAGAGAGGTGGAAACCAGCAAGTCTCAGGGATTGTTCTTTTTCGGAGGAGAGGACTTTGCTAGATGATCTTTTGAAGCTTTGGAGAAAAAGAGGAAGGTTGAAAGCATGACAAAGGTTCCTGAAGCGTTAGGGGGAGAAATCTGGGATGAGGAAGGAGGTCCAGATGAGTTTGATGAGGTGGAAGATTGATTGCGCATAGTATTTGCTTGGCTGGAGTAGTGTTTGCTGTGCTAGTGCATTCTCATGTTTTCTTTCCTTGTTTCTTCTTTGTTGTAGGCAGCTAGCTGAAGTAGTTGATGGGTCTGGGGGGTGTTATCTTAAGTTCTTAACACCTGCCTTTACTTTGTATTCAGCTTTTCTTTTTTCAATAAAATTTTCTTGTTATTTATCAAAAAAAAAAACCCCTCCCAAACCCATTTAAGTGTTCCTCCTAATTTCCCAAACCCACCCCATTCCAAACCTGTTAACCCTGTCCCAACCCATCTCACCTGATTATCATTTGACATATCCTATTATTATTGACATCATTTTTCAAATTTGAAATTCAAATTTAGTTACCTTAATCAATATCCATTAAACTCACCATCAACTCTATTTAGCATTCCATTTATCATAATTGACTCCATAACCAACCTTATTTAACACACCACTTATAACGTTGATTAACTCCATTAATTATCTCCATCTCATAATTAACTCAATTAATTCCATGTAAGTATATTTAATACCAGTCTTGCATAAAACTATGATGTTAGAAGGATTTGAACCCAGGTTGCCTATTTGAAACATAAGTATTTTAACCACTAGGCTATGTCATGATGTCTTGTTAAACTAGCATTGATAAGCAACCATATAATATCATGCGTATTAAAGTACAAAAAAAAATCATTGTAAATACCTAGGTCTTGAGCCATAAATCCCATAATCAAACCAGATCTGAATGATTTTGCCTCTATAATCTCAATTATCCATTCAAGAGATTTTTATTGGATGACTAGTTTCATAAGAAAAGTTATTTTTTCATTTTTCTACTATACATAACAGCATTACCTATTAAATTTTGTAACCTTTTACATGATCATTAATGAGATTTATAATGTTAGTTTGTTAGGCTATGCAGATGTGTGTGTATCAATGTTTCCTTGGGACATTCCAATAGTTTATACATCCCATTTTTATGGTGAAATTACACTTCACATAAAGTCATAAACTGTTAAAATATATGTTTCTTATGTATGGAGTCATTAGAGCTGTAGATTTGCCAAAATTCATATGTTTTTAATATATGTTTGAATTTCCATGGTGTATCCACGTGCATCTTCATTTTTTTCATTGTATCCATACATATCTAAAGCATATCCGAAATCCAAATACGTTTCTTTTAGTTGCACCTTCAATATTCTTTTCATTTTTCGATAATTTGAACCTTGCACCCAGTTTTACATCACATAAATAAAATGTGATGCCCCTCTTAGAAAGAAATAATGTGATATTCCAGTGCTAAAGATGCCTATATAGATAGATAGATAGATGGGTTTATAATCGAGTATTGGTAGCAGGTACCCACATTAAGTATAATTGGGTTCAGGTACCGGGTACCCTAAGGCCAAATCCCAAATTTGTCCCAAATCCTATAGGGTTTTGATAAATGGGTCCTATTAGGGTCAGGATGGGTTGGATACCCTAAATTCCCGGGAAATTGCCATTCCTAATTGTGTTCTCTTATTGTAAATTATCTATTGTAAATCTTTTATTGTTTTCTAGTAGAATACTGATTTGGGAACTTAAAAGACCCATTTATCATGAGTAAGTGAGATAATTGATGAACTTGCCATTTCTTAAGTGACTAACACCTTTTACTCTACATCACATAGGATTTAGTGTGTTTTGTCATGGTATGGCTTGTTAGTTTATTGGCAATACTGAAGTTGTTCCTGTTATGATTCAGCCTGCCTTAGAATTCTATCTGTCTGAGATCGGTTAGGTAGAGAGAAGTAGAAAGGTGGAAGAAAGAGAGAAAGAGAGAAGGGGAAATTCTGGTTCGAGCTGGAAGTCTCAACATAACCTCCTCCCAGTCGGCCAGACAGAACTTATATTATTAAAAATGATTGAAAAGACATATGTGCCCTTATTTAAGTTAGGAGCACCGGTTCCAACACAACATTACAGATCAGCAACATTAATCTAGGTATAAAGACAGAAATACCCCTACG